TCATGACCTGAGCCCAAGGCAGACGCCCAACGACAGCCACCCAGGCGCCCCTGACCCATGACTTTTAATTGGTTTGTTTTGTCACTCAAATGTACACTTGATATACTGTAGGTCACCATGTCAAATCCCCTGTTAGATTTTAATTATTATGATTGTACAATTGGGGAGGTAAGGAATGGTCAAGGGAAGAGGCAAATCTCCCAAGACACAGCCTAAACTCTTCATCCTCTGCCTGCCACCTGCATTAGCTCCCACCATTCCCCATCCCATACATTCTTTTCCTTGTCCATTATCTGCCTAAAATGCTCCATGGTTTCTTGTTCCTGCTTCTTTTCTCATTTATTAATTCATTTCACAAACATGTCTTGAGCGCCTGCTATGTGCAATGAACTGCACTCGAAATTGGAGTTAGGAGAGTGAATAGGACAAATGTTGTCCTGGCTTGAAATACTTCTTGTTCTTCCTATCTTTAAACATGTCCACCATCCTTCAAGACCCGACTCCAAGTCGTCCTACTGTATGTACCTCTCTCTGATTAACTCAACCCTCAGGACCCCTTCTTGCTCTCAACTAGCACTTAATTGGTATACCATTCATTTGACTCTCATCATATACTCTATTTTCTAGTAGTTGTTTTTTTTTTTTTTTTAAGATTTATTTATTTATTTATTTGAGACAGAGAGAATGAGAGACAGAGAGCATGAGGGGGAGGAAGGTCAGAGGGAGAAGCAGACTCCCTGCCGAGCAGGGAGCCCGATGCGGGACTCGATCCAGGGACTCCAGGATCATGACCTGAGCTGAAGGCAGACGCTTAACCATCTGAGCCACCCAGGCGCCCCTCTAGTAGTTGTTAAAAATACCTCTGGCCCAGGGTGCGTGGTTGGCTCAGTCGGGTAAGCATCCCACTCTTGATTTCGGCTCAGGTCATGATCTCGATTGGGGGCGTGAGATTGAGCCCAGTGTCTAGCTCCGTGTTCAGCAGGGAGTCTGCTTGGAATTCTCTCTCCCTTTCCCTGTGCCTCTCCCCCAGCTCCCATGTGCTTGTTCTCTCTCGCTCTCTCTTACTCTCAAATAAATAAATAAATCTCTTTTTAAAAATGCTTCTGGCTGCAAATAATAGAATGCCTAATTAATAGCAGCTGATCCATAGAGCTGTCAAAAAGGAGGTGGCCCAGGGGCACCTGGGTGGCTCAGTCTTTGGGCGTCTGCCTTCTGCTCAGATCATGATCCCAGGGTCCTGGGGTCGAGCCCTGTATCGGGGTCCCTGCTCTACAGGAAGACTGCTTCTCCCTCTCCCACTCCCCCTGCTTGTGTTCCCTCACTCGCTTGTCTCTCTCTGTCAAATAAAATTAAAAAAAAAAAAGGAGGTGGCCTCAGAATTGATCTGGCGTCTTAAAAATGTCATTAAGGAGTTTGATCCTCCTGCTGCCTTCCTCAGTGAGCCAGTGAAGTCTTCCCTCATAGTTTGAAAATGGCTGCTGATGTTCCAAGTACCACATCGTTACATTATAGCATCCAAAGCAAGATGTAACCGTGGTACCAAAAGAGCCTCCTGCTTCCATGATTTTTTCAGAAGCCAAAGACAATTTATAGACATTGGCAAAGGGGTGCGGAGTTGCCATTCCTGGCTTAAATCATTATGGTTCACCTCGTAGATCTGGACATATTGCTGCCAGAACAATATTGGGGATCTGTTAGGAAAGAAAGAGGGAGAAGTGACTGTTGGCTAGGAAACCAACCCCATATGCCACTGTGTTTATGATTTTGATTTGTACATTTATTAGCTATGTTACCTTGGACAAATTAGCTACCCTTTCTAATTCTCAGTTAATATATCTACAAAATTAGGCATAATAATACCTATCTCATAGGGCATCAAATGAAATAGTGCTTCTAAAAATGCCTCACAAGTAGCAGACCCTCAAATCTCTCCTATATACATAGATTAGGCATGGCTCTAGAATAGCAGACCTCCAACCACGCTCCTAGATTCTCATCTATAGTCTTTGTCTCAGTTTACACAAATAATTTTATGAAGCTTTGTTTTTTTTAAATTTTTTTAAATTTTTTTTTTTTTAAAGATTTTATTTATTTATTTGACAGAGACAGAGACAGCGAGAGCAGGAACACAAGCAGGGGGAGTGGGAGAGGGAGAAGCAGGCTTCCCGCTGAGCCGGGAGCCCAATGTGGGACTCGATCCCAGGACCCTGGGATCATGACCTGAGCCGAAGGCAGTCGCTTAACCAACTGAGCCACCCAGGCGCCCTTTATGAAGCTTTGTAATGTTGATTCTGTGTATATGCGAAGTAAGTGATTGCCTATGATTGTAATACACGGAGTATTAAAAGAGACTCTCAAATCTAAAAATGCCTTCTTCACAATTCCTGTGGCTCACATCTCCTGTTATAATTCAACGATCCTTAGAAGGATAACACAGAGAAGTATTTATCAGGTAGTAGTGTGTTAGTGTGAATTTTGTGATCAGATCTTTTTCAGTGATAACTTAGAGTAAGTTGAAGGATGAGGGATTGATTTAGAAACCACATACAGTATGATTAGCTTAATTTTTTTTTTCATTCGAGTTCTAGAGCTCAGGATATAATAAGTAAGTTCATACTAAGGTATAATATCTAACTCCAATCTAACGTGTTAAATAGCCTAATCATGCGTAGACTTTCACAACTAGGTCAGACTCTGGAATCACACAGTTCTGAGCTTGAATTCCATCTCTCACTCAGAGTGTGACTGTCAGCAACTTACCTAGCCTCTCTGTGCTGTGTTATCTACCTGTAAACTATTGAAACTAGTACCAATAACCTTATAGAGTTCAAAGCATTAGACTATATAAAAGGGCTTAGTGCAGGTCTGGTACACATTAAGTGTGCCCAAATGTTCACTAATAGTATTGTTATTTATTAATATAAATCTTATCATAAAAAATATAAATCTTATTAAAATCATCTTATAGTATAGAAATAGCAGAGAAGATGATTCTTATCTTGCCTTTGAAGAAATGGACACATAAAGTTTAACTCATTTGCCTTACATCTATCTCATAGGAAGGTAATGATAGAGCCGGGACTAGAATCTAGGCCTTTAGCACAGAGCCAGAGGTTCTTCCACCTGGATTAAAGAGTCAAAGACCTCTGTGCTCTTCCTAACAAAAACTGATTCATAATGACAAAGCTAATTTGTGGCAGCTATTTTGATAAAAGAACAGGTTTTTTTTTTTAATTTGTTTTAAAAAAAATTTTTAAATTATTTATTTATTTGAGAGAGAGAGAGAGAGAGAACGGGCTGGGGGAGGAGCAGAGGGAGAGGGACAGGTAGACTTATGCACTAAGCACAGAGCCCAAAGCATGGCTCAATTCCAGGACTTGGAGATCATGACCTGAGCTGATAGCAAGATTCAGACGCTCAATCAGCTAAGCAACCCAGATACCCCAAATACTGGGGTTTTTTTTGTTGTTGTTGTTGTTGTTTTAATTAACAAGCAACGTATGCCGCAAACATTTGTGGCACTTCTTCTATCCACCACTTTATCCTTCTTACCCAGTCTCAGGAGGTATCAAGCTCACACATGGAGAGTGGGAGTCAGAAGTGTGGCAAGACGGTCTGTGGCAGGAAATAACCTTGTTGGTCTTTTTCACTATTATATGCCCAGCACTTAGCATAGAGCCTATCACATGGTAGGTGCTCAATAAATACTTGCAAGATAAATGAATTGTTTGGTATTTTTTAAGAGCTGAAAATGTAATGGTTAGAGTTTTCTTTTTTCTTTTTATTTTCAATTTGTATAAAAATATCATGAACCACCTGATTTTTACAATAGGATCATTTGAACAACATGTGTCTTTCCAAAGACATTTAGAACATAAGAATGAACTAGCCAGGCTGGGATTTGTAATTTTTCCAATCCAGATCTGGACTTTGGACAAGGTTTCATTTCATACAGAGTTTGACTTTAACGTTGGTCTTCTCTCAAACTGCTCACAAATCACTTCCTGCAGTGAGAGCTAATTTTCTAAAGGAGCAGCAAAGCTCAGTCCTTGGGGGCAAATTCAGCTATGTCTTTCTGGCTTTTTGAGAAATGAAATGTTTAGACAGTGGTTTAACTTTTTTCTTAGATCAGTCAGCACAGATATAGTGCCTTGAAAAGTAAATGGATGAAGTAACCCTGAATTAGGAAAAGATGACAGTCTCTTTAACAATGGGCATTCTCTAGTCAAAACTGTCATTATTCTCTGTGCTCCTGGGTGGCTCAGTCGGTTGAGCATCCAACTCTTGGTTTTGGCTCAAGTCATGATCTCATGGGTCGTGAGATCGAGCCCTGCATTGGGCTCCATGCTCAGGAGGAGTCCACTTGAGATTCTCTTCCTCTGCCCCTTCCCCCACTCGTGCTCTTTCTCAAATAAATAAATAAAATCTTAAAAAAAAAAAAAAAAGACTGGATGGTCATTATTCTCTCCCAACACCTCTACTGGGATCTGATAGTGTTTCTGTTTTCTCCTCTATCCCTCATCCCAGAAAAAGGCTTCTTCTCAGTCATTTTAGACATCACAGTAAATATAAAATTGCTCATTAATTAATTCACTCCTCTGTCATTTTGTTCACTGAGTGTTTGCTTTCTGCCAGGCACTGGTAGAAATCCTGAGGAGTCAGAAAGGAGTGAGGCATAGTCTGTGCCCTCAAGGAATTCACAACCTCATGGAGGTAGACAGACAAGCAAACAGATAAATTATAAAGCAACAGAGTTAAGTGCTATTACTGAGATATGAGCCAAATGCTGTAGGAACCCAAACTCTCTGTCTCCCAAGAGTATCTGATTTATCATCTTTATCTCTAATTCTGAAAGAGAATGCAAAGTCCTCATTAAATTACTTCAAGCCTCATAGAACAGGCTGGAGAGATATTTTTGGCAAAGGGCACCTTCCTGTTGTCCCTGGAATAACATGAAGAGGCTGCATACCCCATCTTGCTAATAACAGTATGTCTTCCAGCAAATTAATATAACATCTGGCTCAAAAGGAAGTACTCCCATCAGTTAGCTGGAAGAAAGACATGTCTTCTACAAGATATCTGAAGCAGTTCTGCAGATGAAGGTAGCGTGACACAGAGGGCTATGTATTTTGGGGGACTGCATCTAAAGCAATTGTCTCACCTGGCATGGCAAGTATAATGGAAACTAGGCTACTGAATAACTAGAAAGTAAAAGAGTTTTTATGAGCACTCAGACATGAGAAGTCGTTGGGTTTTTTACCAGTCCAAACCATCCCATTCAGAAGTACTCTTTTTCCTTCTGCAAAGGGATCCTGCCATCCCACTGCTCAACAGTGCGGAAGGGCCCCTGAAATCAGGTCCTCTGCCTCTGGGTCTGAGAGGTATTACATATGACCTGCCTAACAGTGGAAAACTTTTAACAATGTGGCCTGTTAACGAAATAACAAACAAACAAAAAGCAAAACAGAACAGTAAACAAAAAATATCTCTTTTTCAGGGAAAGTGTGTTGGGGAACCTACACATGAGGAGTACTGAGTTTGTCATGGACTTGTAGGATACTTTACCTTTAAGTAATGTATCATTTTGTCTTTCCTTAATGCTAGAATTAGTGATGATATAGTTTTCTTGGGGATGTTGGTGTCATATACGGACACAATCTTTGCCAAACCATTAATCTCTTAGTAATAGTATGAGGAAACAGTACCATGCTGTCTAGATTGGAATATCATTTATTTTAAGGTATATTTACAAGTATGTTGAAAAATTTAGGACATCTGGTGCTATAGACTGAATGTGTCTCCTCCAAATTCAAATGTTGAAACCCAATTCCCAATGGCATTAAGAGGTGGGGACTTTGGGAGGTGATTAGGTCATGAGGGAGGAGCCCTCATGAATGGGATTAGTACTCTGATAACAAAGGAACTCTAGAGAGCTCCTTTGCCCTTTCCACCATGTGGGGACACAGCAAAAGGATGGCCATCTATGAACCAGAAAGGAGGCTTTCATCAGACATAGAACCTGAGACACCCTGATCTTGGATTTCCTAGACTCCAGAACTGTGAGAAACATATGTTGTTTAAACCACTCGGCCTATGGCATTTTTGTTATAGCCGCCCAAAAGGACTAAGACATGTGGTTTCCAGTCCAGCGTGTAAGGAGTTTAGAAGTTGCCACTACATCCTAGCAAGTGAAATGTAGAACAAACTGAAAAATTAACAACTCTTCTTAGATCCATCAGAGAAGTAGAGTCACAGGGCAAACTGCTACTCCCAAAATTGGAGAGACAGACAGGTGAATACAAATAATCACATCTTATCAGAGCAGAAACCCGCAAGCAGAAACCTCTTCAAGAACCAGTGATGGGGTAGGAAATCCTGAATTATAATGGACAAATTTCAGGATGCTTAATGTAGACAAATCAGAGAGTTCAAAACTCCAGGAGGACCCAGGCATAGGGAGGGATCCATGCTTTTGTGAATGTTATCTCAAAGAGCTTGACCTGGTTTTAACAGTGAAAATCAGAGAAAACTTCCCTTATGATTTTGGCAGGGGGAGGGGAGAAGTAACCATTTGAAATTAGCCAGAACATTCTATTCTTCTTAATAAGGCCTTCCCTCAAGATAAATTATTTCACCAGAGCCTAAACTATTGGGTTTTGTTTTGCTTTGTTTTGTTTTTCCGAGATTAACCAACTAGAGGGAAGGGAAATAATGCAACTCCTCTCTGGCCTTCCACATGGTAAAAGGGAAGGACCCAATTCTAGCCCTCTGTATCTGTTCTGTGCCACCTAATGGGGTAAAATAAATGGAGAAGCACTTGTGAAGTTCACAGTCCAGAGGCCTAGGCTCACTAAAAAAACAGAAATCTAATCATAGGGCTATAGAACATTTGCACTCCCCCTCCCCCACAACTTGCCACCACATTACTAAAGGCTTATTTAGAGCAGCATCTTTTACCCAGTACATCATGTCCAGCTATCAAGGAAAATGTCAAGGGAGCACAACAGGACTCAGATATGACAGGGACATTAGACTTCTTAGACTGGGAATTTAAAACAACTATGATTAATATGCTAAAGGCTCTAGTGGATAAAATAGATAGCCTACAAGAATAGGTGGTAATGTAAGCAAACAGATGAAATTCGAAGACAGAATAGAAAATAAGTGCTAGAGATAAAAAACACAGTAACAGAAATGAAGAATGCCTTTGATAGGCACAGTAGTAGCCTGGACATGGCTGAGGAATAAATCACTGAGCTTGAACATATCTTAATAGAAACTCCAAAAATGGGAAAGTAAAGAAAAAAATAGTGAAAAAAAAAAAGAGTAGGATATCCGTGTGTATGTGTAAAGTGAATACCAGAAAGAGAAGAAAGGAACGAAACAAATATTTGAAGCAATAATAACTGAAAATTGCACCAAATTAATCACAGACACCAAACCACAGATCCAGGAAGCTCAAAGAACATCAAGCAAGATAAATAACAGGGACAACAACAACCAAAAAACTACACCTAGGCATATTATATTTCAACTGCAGAAAATCAAAGATAAAGAAAAAATCTTGAAAAAAAAGCCAGAGGGGGGAAAAATACCTTATCTATAGAAGAACAAAGTAAGAATTTACATCTGACTACTCAGAAGCAATACAAGTAGAGAGTGGAGTGAAATATTTAAAGTGTTGAGAGAAAAAAAAACCAACAACACAGGGGCCCCTGGGTGGCTCAGTCTGACTCTTGATTTCAGCTCAGGTCATGATCTCAGGGTCATGGGATTGAGCCCTGCATCGGGCTCCGTGCTCAGTGGAGAGTCTGCTTGAGATTCTCTCTCTCCCTCGCCCTCTGCCCCTGTCCCCGCTCAAATGGGTGCATGCGTGCACTCTCTCTCTCTCTCTAAAAAAATAAATAAATCTTAAAAAAAGAAAAAAAACCCATCTACTTAGAATTATGTATCCTACAATGGAATGTATTCCATTCTTCAAAAGTAATGGAAGACTCAATATTGCCAAGATGTGAGTTCTTCCCAACTTGATCTATAGATTTAATGCAATCCTAATCAAAATCCCATTGAGTCATTTTATGGATATTGACAAACTGATTCTGAAGTTTATAGAGAAACAAAAATTCCAAAATAGCCAACACAGTATTGTAGTACAAAAACAAAGTTGGAAGACTGATACTACCTGATTTCAAGAGTTAATATAAAGTTACAGCAATCAAGAAAAGGTGGTATTGGCGAAAGAATAAACAAAAACAGGAAAAAGGTAGAGAGCCCAGAAATAGATTCACATGTATGTAATCAATTGATCTTTGACAAAGGAGCAAAAGCAATAAATGTAGGAAAAATAGTCTTTTTAACAAAAGGTGCTAGATCAACTGGACATCTACATGCAAAAATACAAATCTAAGCACAGACTTTACACTCATTACAAAAATTAACTCAAAATGGATTGTAGAGCTACATGCAAAATGCAAAACTATAAAACTCCAAGATTAGCATAGGATAAAGCCTAGATGACCTCGGGTTTGTGATAGCTTGTTATATACAACTTCAAAGCAAATTGAATCCAACAATGAGACTATTCAATTTGTCCAAAGGCACTACCTATGGGACCAAAGGTATGATCCATGAAAGAAATAATTGGTAAGCTGGACTTTCTTAAAATTGAAAACTTTTGCTGTGTCAAAGACACTGTCATGGAAATGAGAAGATAAGCCACAGACTAGGAGAAAATATTTGCATAAGACATATTTATTAAAAGACAGTTATCCAAAAAATATACACCCTAAAGTTCAACAATAAGGAAAAAACAACCTGATTTAAAAATGGGCTAAAGCCCTTAACAGATACTTCACCAAAGAAGATATATGGATGGCAAAGAAGCATATGAAAAGATGTTCCACATCTCTCTCAAAATAGATAAAATAAACTTTAAAGTTTTATAAATTTGAGATTTACAGAAATATTGTGATGATAACACAGAGTTCCCATATGCCCAACACCCAGTTTCCCCTATTATTACTGTCTTATGACAGAATTGGTACATTTGTCACAATTAATGAACCAATATTGGTACATTATAATTACCTAAGTCCAGATTTTAGTCAGATTACCTTAGTTCTTTTTTTAATTGAATGGTTTTTTTTGTTCCAGGATCTCATGTAGGATACTAAATGATAATTAGTTGTCATATCTTAAGCTCCTCTTGGCTGTGACAAGTTCTTAGTCCTTTTGTTTTTGGTGACTTTAAAAGTGTTAAAGAGTATGGGTTAGGCATTTTGTAGAATGTGCCTCTATTTTGATTTGTCTGATGTTTTTCTCATGATTAGACTGGGGTTATGGGTTTTAGGGAAAAAGATCACAGAGGTAAAATGCCATTCTCTTCACATTATGTCAATGGTATATAACGTCAACATCAACGTTAATGTTGATGTTAATCACCTGGTTGAGGTGACTCAGCACCCCTCCCCCCATTTCTATACTACAGTTTTTGGAAGGAAGTCACTGTGTATAGCCCATATACCCTTAAAAAATGGGTAGGGCTACTCCATTTCCTTGAAAGTAGAATATTTACATAAAGTATTTGGAATTCTTACGCATGTGGGATTTGTCTCCTCTTCCCCATTCATTTATATCAGTATGGGCTCATGAATTTGTATTTAATTTTTGGGTTATAATCCAACATAATGTTTTTATTCTGTTGCTCAAATTGTTCCAGCTTTGATTATTGGGAGCTCTTTCAGTAACTTCCTATATCCCTTTGGCATACCTGATCAGACTGTGTGTGTGTGTGTGTGTGTGTGTATGTGTTAGTACTTACTTTCTGGCACCAAAAGATGCTTTAAGCTCACTTCTGTATTTTCTGCCCCAGGCCTAAAATCAGTCATTTCTTTAAGGATCACTAATTATGGGGCACCTGGGTGGCTCAGTCGTTAAGCGTCTGCCTTCGGCTCAGGTCATGATCTCAGGGTTCTGGGATCGAGCCCCGCATCGGGCTCTCTGCTTGGCCGGGAGCCTGCTTCTCCCTCTCCCACTCCC